CGGAAAAGAGACCAAGAGAAACGCGAGGTGGTAGATGCATTACTGGTATGATGAACGATCCGCAGGTGGCTTAAAGCAAAAGGAGGAGGAAGAGGAGGGAAGAGCCCTTCCCCTTGCCGTATCTACGGAGGAGCTGTTACGCCGACCTTTTCTATCCATCGAGATTCCGTATGTATTTTGCGCAGGTACATTATGTACCGACCGATCGCACTCGTACGCTCCGGTTCCGGCTAATTCGTACGAGTGCTTTCACGTACGGGAAAATCGGTGTTCGCTGAGCGATCTACTCGGCGCGGATAGCTGAAGGATGACTGAATAGGATAATAGAGCGGGAATAAATCGCCTTGCAAAGGTCGGCGTGGCAATTCCATTAGCTGTACGCGCGCTACTTAAGCGGCAGTTCGTTGTTGAAAATGTTTATCGATGATTAATGACGAAAATCAATTCTAAACGGACGCTCAATCGTACGGAAAGAAATTCAAGGCGGACCGCGCGGATACGTAAAGTGGCTAAATAGTTTGGCGATTTCTCATATTTATGTAACAAAGTGGATCGGCGTATCGTGTTATTTCTCCAGCAGGACGTACATCGGGACGTGAAACCTGATACATTAAATCGCACAAAAGCGACGAACGGTGGCGTGTACCCTTATTGTGGCGTATGTAAACCGATACGGTGGGCAAAGACAAATCGCGGAACGTCTAAAGTATTAATGCGGAAAGCCGTATACAACATGGATACAGTCGCACATGATCGATTCCGTTTCGAATCCATAGGCGAACGCCGCAGACGTCGTGCCGCCGCAATAAATTCGCCTTTATCCGCTCATCGATCGTTTTACGGGTGCAATCTTGCCACCTTTATTCACGCCGATGCGTCACGTATAATATACATGGGTCGGTCTCACGGGTTTACGGGTTTGCAAGAGACACGTCGGCGAAATGCAGTGCACCGCGCACGCACCGTGCGAGAAGTATCCAACAACTGCGAAACGAGGAAGGAAAATGATTTACGGGAAATCCTGGCGCGTGCACGTTGCGTCACCGGGGACCGCTACGAGCAGCGTGCAGTTGATGCCCCGAATGAGACCGTCTTTCACTGTATTTCGACTCCATCTTCCGCTCGAGGGAAGAGTCGACGTCATCCTTCCCGTTCGTGCCATTCTATTCCGCGAGACGAGAAACGTCTCCGCAATTAAGACCGAACTCCTTGGTATCTGCTGTTCATCTGCCTGCATGTTTCCTTCTTGTTGCGTGCGACAGAACGCGCTTTGAGGGATTAAGTTTACGCTAAAATAAACATTACTGCGAACTTCTCTGGAAAGTACCGATTGTGTGAAAGAGATCCTACGAAGCTTTTATCGCTATACATTGTGCGAGATCGTATTACAAATTTATTACTTTTTGTTACAAGAATTCCGCTAAATTAAATACATTTATTTCTATAATTTCCATACTACATTTACAATACATTTATTTCTACAATACATTTATTTCTATAATTTCCATACTAATTGATCAATAATCATTTGTACAGGTTAATAACTTGTGACTTCTGAGAGAAGAGAAATAATCTTCAATTAATTAATGGAAATCCGCTGCAGTATTAATTCCTATTTAATTGGCGCTTGATCTTTACAAGCATGAATAGGTGCACTCATGCGGCTAAATACACTCTCGCCTCGCTTATCATACCCTTTTGAAGTGTACTGTCATCCCTTAAGCGACCGTATCTACCGCTGATCGTTGTAATCTATGAGAACGCGCTTGTCGCGCTAGGAACGAGCTTGGACTGGAATGGAACAATCCGGCCTTAATTGCGGGGACGTTTACGTGTTTCCTAATGCGCATGCACGCGTGTGATGTCGACGGTGCGACGTAAGCTCGATAGAGTCCAGTCGATGTGTAACCAATCCCAGGTGGAATCCCCGGACAGGGCCGGGAAGGAAATATCTTTTAGTAATTTAGCTCTTGTGCTGCGGGACTGCGGTGTTGCGCATACGTTGCACCGTGATACGCCGTCGTGTCATTGATCCTAAGTACACGCGCGGTATGTGTGCGTCGCGTTACAGGGCAGAACATAATAGGATAGCTGGATATCGTCCGCGAGGATCATACCCGGTACACGCGGCTATTAAGACGATCACGGTCACGTCCCGGAATAATTGAGTTGCCGCATACACGCGCGCAATTTGACGGATTTCCGCGCGCAAGTCGTTATCACGGGGAGATTACTTTCGCGACTGGGTATTAATCCACGTGGGCGTATCACGGTCCGCACGCATGCCTGTCGAGCAATTGTGATTTTCTTTCCTGTCTTCCCGTTTCGTGTAGAACGGAATTGACGCATTGAGTACGAGAAATTTCCGCAACGGTCGTAACTCAATATTTATCCCGCGAGAATTACTTTTGCAAGTTGGTATTAGTTAATGTGTTGCAGTAATTAAAACGTAATTGTAACGACAATAATTAACAAAATAGAACAACGGTGTAACATAAATTGTAATTTAATGATATTAGCGAATAGACGGATATAAAATGAGTTGCAGCTTCGGTAAAAGTAATTTCGCACGAAACAGTCCCACAATTCTTTATTTACAGCTTAATGCAGAGTTATCGTTTTATGGACAAATAAATCTCGTTTGTCGGAGTAAACAAACCGATATTGCTACAAACGGATTGCTTTAAAAAAATCCTATTAAGTCAGCGGAATTTGAAGTCCCTCCCGCGTTAATGCTGAAGTGACGCAAATAGACGGGTATTACCGCGTCACGTGCAACCAATTTGCAATATTATCTTAACTACGCATTATTATGTGCAGAAGTTACCGTTTCCGCTGCACTATTGTGC